CTTCCATCCCCTCCACATGTTGATGTAGAAGGTGAGGAATAATTTTTTGTTGAATGACTTCTTGACTCCAGAATATTCAGGAACAAATGACAATATCTGTTTTGATGAAAAGAATATGATCCAGAAGAGAATTCTTGGGAACCTTAAGAAAATGCTCATGCTCCTAGGCTGAAAAAATAATCTCTTTAGCGGTTTCCTCACAAACCAGACCCTAAGAAGACAGGAGCCATCCTGCATAGAGGGGTACACTGTCAGGATCTGGATCTAAATGCAAGGCCTCTGCTGAATCTGGCAGTGGTTCTTTCTGCTGAGCCACCTAGAACCTTGGTTCTAGGATAGTTTGTGCAGTCCTCAGTTAAACTTAGTTTTCTGCTGGACTCTGAACTCCTTGCTCCTCCACTGAACTGCCTATGTATGCCAGGCCTCTGCACTTCCTGTTTGCCAGATTATTGTGCCAATTTTTTGCTTCTTGCTGTGATACCACTGCCTTATACTGCTACTCGTGACTGACCCTTGGCTGCTAATTTACTAACTATGCTTATCATCTTCCACTTCAAACTCGATACCTTTGGTTACTGATCCCAGATGGTGACACTCTAATGACTGGCTTAGTACCAATGGATTACCGCAAGGCCGATGTGGTGCATATTTTAAAAAAGAGATCAAAGTCTTTGCCAAATAACTATAGATCTGTTAGCATAACTTCTATAGTAGGAAGATACTTGAGAGTGCGATCGTTTTTGCTAGAAAACAATATTATAAAAAAAGTAAAAATAGAAATATCAAAATATCTAAGTTTTCATACAAATTAACTTTCTTTTTATGAAGTGAGCAATAACCTAGACAAAGCATTGGCTCTGGCTATAATATATTCAGATTTTGTAAAAGTGTTTGACACAGTTGCCCATAGACAGCTATGCTATGCAGCTGTCCAATCCACGCCATTATAATCTGCCACTGGCTGCAGTGATAGGTTGATGTTTAAGGTGTTCTAGCAGAATATCTAAGATTGGCCATTACATCTCTGCTGAAGCCACATGGACTAGTAATAAGACAATGTATAGTTGTAATATATTTTCCTTTATTTAATGGAACCATTACAAACAGAAGGAGTAATTGATTTGTTTTTATTTTTTTGTCTGGGTCCACAGTGTCTTGACAGTTTACCTCTGCATCAGAGACTTTGAAATAAACATTATGGTAGTACAGCACAAACTGTTTTTACTACCAACTAAATTACGGTACTTGACTTGGTTACTTGGTAGCAATAGATGCATGCACGCTTATTTTAAAATAATGTGGAATGTTTTACAGTTGTTTTGGTAATATATTGGTAGACCATCATGCTCACTTCCTGTTAGCCCAAGGCACTGCAGTCTAAGGGCTTTTTCACACCAAGCGCGGAGCAGATCCAGAGCAGAGCAGGTGCAAACCGGATCAAAACTGCGTCCAATGTATTCCTATGGTATTTTGAGCTCCAATTCACATTGCAGCGTGCAGATCCAGAGCAGGTAAAAGAAACTGCGGCAAGCCCTATTTCACCTGCTCTGGAACGCATCAAAAACGCATGCAAAACGCAAAAACGCATGCAAGTGCCTGAAAGCCCATGTTAAACTTAAATAAAAAAAACGGTCCGGAACACATCAAAAACGCGGAAAAACGCATCAAAAACACGGCACAACCCACTGCACTGCATGTGCAGAAACCTGACCGGATCTGCTCTGCATTTGGTGTGAACAAGGCCTTAAGTTGCTTTTGTAGGTGTAGCTGTTTTAGAATGTCACTAATCTGAGCAGCAGGAACTTCTCCGTTTAACATGCAGCACTGCAATGAAATACAGTAAATGCAGGCTTGAGATCTAAGGAGCTTATAGCTCTAACAGTATATTTTGCCAGTATCTGTCAGAATGCCATTCTGTTGTGGAAGTTCGACGTGAGCGGACGGGTCGCCGGGTGTCTTTTTGTTAAATTTCTATTTATTTTTTATTTTGTCGAGTCGCTGCCGTCATGGATAATGCTGGACATCGTGATTGACCCTAGGTGATGTGGTGGATCAATTTTTTTGGGTTTTGTTTTTTCAAATACAGGTATTCCTCACTTAACGACCGAGTTCCGTTCCTACGACCAGGTCGTTAAATGGATTGGTCGTTAAGTCAGGAACTCTATACAGTACTGTACTGCATTAGTACAGTACTGTATAGCGTTGCCGATGTACAGTACCGAACAGTGTACTGTACATCGGGCAATGGAAATACTTACCGGGACCCGCAGTGAAGATCGGAGGACGTTACTTCCTGAGGTCGGTCGGCGGTCCGTCGTTAATGCGAGCGGTCGCAAAACAGGTAAGTCGGTAAGCGACGAACCTCTGTATAAGACTTTTCAAAAACATGTCTGTTTTTTTTAAAATTAAAGGTTTTTTTTCCAAAAGTCTGGCCTCTTTTTTAAAACTTTTATTTAACCCTTTAGTGAAAGGGTAGGAGTACAAGTACCCCTTACTCATTCACAAGGGGGGTGCTGCATCTGGGTGCCTCTTTATTAAAGGGGTACCCTAATGTGAATAAACCCCCTGCCTGCACCCCCACAACCAACGCCCCAGGACTGTGGGGAAGAGGCCCTTGTCCCCATCGGCACAGGGACATGGTGCTTTTCCAGGGGCAACCCTGAAAAAGCACCCTCCCAGTTCTGAGAGCATGTGGCCTGGTACGGCCCCCTTTCCTGCCCTGCCCTGCCATGCCTGTGCTCGTATCAAGGGTCTGGTATGGAATTTTAGGGGGGACCTACGTTTTTTTTCTCCATTTTTGGGGGTGGAGTTCCTCTCTAAAATTCCTACCAGACCTTAAGGGCCTGGTGTGACTTCTGGGGGGAACCCCACGCACTTTATTTTTTGCTTTTTTTACTCCTAAAACTCCTACCAGACATAAAGGGTCTGGTATTGTTTGGGAGGGGGAACCACACACTTTTTTTTTCTTCTTCTTTATAAATGTCATTTAAAAAAATAATAATTTCAGTTTTGCTGCAGCAGGTTGTATACATCGTACAGATGTGCCACTTTACAGGCAGTTTAAGGGGACCCCCAGGTACGATATTTAAAGGAATTTTTCATTTTAATTGTTTCACTTTAAGCAATGCTAAAATCACTGCTCCTTTAAAAATGGTATTTATTCAAAGTGTTTTTTGCATTGATACATGTCCCAAAGGGCAGTACCCGAAACCCCATACCCTTTTTATGGCCATTAAGTTGCATATAAACCTTCAAAAAGGGGACAATTGATTTTTCAGTTTGGGTCCCATAGACTTGCATTGAGTTCGAATTCAAACTTTTTCAATGTTCTAAAGTTCGAATTCGAACCGAACACGGGGGGTGTTTGGCACATCACTAGTTACTATGTAAATGTTACAATGTAAATCCATGTAGGGGGCTGGACATTTACTGTAATGGTGTGTGATATAGTATTAATGGCAATGAGAATAGATTATATCCAAGTGGTAGAGGTTTCATGCATAGGCATAGGCATTATAAATAGGATAATCAATAAAAATACAAAGCGCTAAAGGTACTAGATAATGTGTATAAAAGGTTTGTATTGGTTTATTAGTCACATGTAATACTTATTAATAGGCTCCAGGCCGACTCGCCTGAAAACCTATTTTTCACCTTTTATACACATTATCTAGTACCTTTAGCGCTTTGTATTTTTATTGATTATCCTATTTATAATGCCTATGCCTATGCATGAAACCTCTACCACTTGGATATAATCTATTCTCATTGCCATTAATACTATATCACACACCATTACAGTAAATGTCCAGCCCCCTACATGGATTTACATTGTAACATTTACATAGTAACTAGTGATTAGTACACATTATCTAGTACCTTTAGCGCTTTGTATTTTTATTGATTACCGTAGGGATTTCTTTAATCCCCTTTTCAGAGCTGCTCTGGGTTTAATAGATTTATTCACTATTTTTCAATTATTTATTTATTTATCTATTCCTTCTTTACTACCTCTCTCCAGAAGCGCAGACTATCTATTTACATTATAAATAGGATACTATTATATGCATCTATCTCATGCAGGTCTAATTTTCCCACTGCATACATTGTCACAGAGGTTTAATGTGAGTTCTGCATTTTTCACACTGCACTGCATATCACACCTGCATTGTGGTGTAAACAGGGCACATAGAAAACAGTTGTTTTCTATCTGCCCCAGCAGTGCCTGGCATTGTTTAGGTGCTCCAAGGTAATGTGCATGTGTGCAGACACTATAGTATCTGTTCTGGCCTGCACTGACCAGGCTGAAGCCTGTGAGAAATAACTGCATGAGCAGCATGTGTGGACACTGGAACTGGTGTCCAGACTATCTGGCCTTGACCAGACTATAGCCTGGTAATAGGTAAGTGGAACACTGTTCTACTGCGAGAGATTGACAGTGCTTCAATAGACAGAGAGACTTAAGCTGGGCAACTTCATACCCGAAGGTTGAACTCTTACGGTATGTTGTTCTGCATGTCCTTTTTTTGTTACTGAATATAAGTAGGAGGAAAACCCTATAACACAATTTGGTGAGTGGAAGGAGTCCTTGGAGCTCTACAGTTATAGCTGAAATCCCACAACATATACTATCCTAAAGCATAACTGTACTCAGGCACTGCATAATATGAAATGCTATGTAATATTAGGGTAAGTCATTGATGGATAGACTATTATAATCATTATTATTAGGTTTATGCATATACTTATTTATTTATTTTAGGTTAGGTATTCATTCCATATGGTACATAGACCAAGTCTGGTTTTCAGTTTCAGTTTGGACCATCTGTCATTGTTTCTACATACTGGAATCAGAACCAACAAACCACTTTACAGAATGGAAAACCCATTTGATTTGATTCAAAATACAACTATATAAAACAGTGAAAGTGCATGCATTTGCAAAGCAACATACACAGTCTGTTAAAAAAAAAAGAAAACTGCTAAAGTATTATACATACCATAAATCCATGATACTCCGACTGCCTCTATTAAAACAGCAAACAAAATTGAGGTTCCCGCAGCAAATGTATCCAAGAGAGTGACCACATAGATTCCACCCTGTTATTAGATGTGAAAAATATTAATTCTGCAACTGTCCTTTCAGAATGTGGACATTACTCCGAACAGTATATGAATTTACACAGAGGTGACATAAATAGACATTTGACAAAACATTTGACTCGGGGAGTCTATTTATAAGGTATTTGACATGAAGAATGTTGTACATTTACCTAAAAAATCAACAAACTTACAGGGCAACATTCACCCTATTCATGAAGCACAGCTCCATATATAGTCATCCAACATTAGCCTGGTATAAATAAATTTACTTACATTCGGCAACATCTTTTCTTGCATTGGAAAATGTGCTTACTGAAACATTTGTCCTATTTAGAAAAGGGTGAATATGTCCTTCCCTGCTCAGCCACTCGACATGTCATTTCAATGTACACATTTTAAAAATACAATTTGCCAGGGGGTGACGTGTTGAATCCTTGTCTTCTATAATGAAAATGCAATGATTGCCTATGGAGAGTGCTGAACCTGTGTTCAACGTACAGGGCAATTTATTTGTTTATGTGACTTTATAATAACCCTAACCATGACTTCACATGTAATTGCAAATCTATGTAAATACTCTTTAAACCTCTACTACTTTTTAACTTGAGATGTTGAAACAGTTTAAATTAGAATTTTTGTGCTAACTTGCTGGAGACTGTGGAATTTTTGCATTGCTTTCTATATTGCCCTGCCCATGTGCACCTTTACTTTTTGCTAATTTAAAATGATTAGAGCAACTGTCATTCTTGCTTTGTAGGAACAAAAATCTGATAGAACTCTTGGTCGCTTTACCCTAAACTAAAAGAAAAAGGTTTCCAATGGAGTTCTACTTTACAACATAACTTTTTTTTAGAGAGTTATGCACTAAGGAGCCGAAGGATCTAGCCATGGCTTTGGCTGATCCTTCGGCTCACTTCGGTCGCCGAAGCCTACTTGGTTAAGTTGAACAGAAGGGCTGCTCTATGGGCTATTCACAATAGCCCGTACAGCAGCCGAAGGCACCAAGAGGCTCAGCCAAGCCGAACGCATATGCTTCGGCTCGGCTGAGCTGTAGTCACAGTCGAAACAGGGAGAACAGTCGGCGAAGCCCACCGTTCTCCCTGCAAATGACAACAACTGGGCAGAGCCAGCCGTTATGTCACGGCTGGCTCCGCCCAGTTGTTTTCATCATTCAATAACAGACCAGTGTCCTCATGTAATTTGAGGACACTGGGCTGTCATTAAATGACAACAACTGGGTGTCACAGCTGGCTCTGCCCAGTTTTGATTTGGCCAGGACCTGTGGGAAGACTGACAGGTGGCAGCCAAATGTAAACAGTTAGGCGGAGCTAGCGGTGATGTCACTGCTAGCCCCGCCCAATTATTTATATTTTGCCCCCATCAGTTAGATCCTTCATTTTGCGGCAGTTTGTTGCATGCGGTCAGGTGGGCGGGCGCCAGGTTTTATTTATTTTGCCGAGTCGTCGTGGACAACGCTGGGCGTCAAGATTGACCTTGGATTACGTCTGTGGATCCATTTTTGGGATTTAAAAAAAAAGACTTCTCAAAAACATGTGTTTTGGCCTTTTTTTCAATTAAAGGATTTTTTTAAATAGTCTGGTCTTTTTATTAATTTACATAGTTGCATAGTTAGTCAGGTTGAAAAAAGACACATATCCATATAACTTTTTATATTTTATTTAACTCTTTAGTGAATGGGAAGGAGTACAAATACCCCTTACTCATTCACAAGGGGGGGCCGCATCTGGGTACCCCTTTATTAAAGATCTACCCTAAAGTAAATAAGCCCCCCCTGCCCACAGACCCTCACAACCAACGACCCAGCGCTTGTGGGGAAGAGGTCATTGTCCCCTTCAACATGGGGACAAGGTGCTTTTCCAGACCCGTGGCGGGGAAATGTGGCCTGGGACGGGGGGGGGGGGGGGGGGGGTGCTCGCTTGTTCCCTCTTTTCCTGCCCTGCCAGGCCTGTGCTAGGATCAAGGGTCTGGTGGGGAATTTTAGGCAGACCCCTCACTTCTTTCCCCATTTTTGAGAGTGGGGTTCCTCCTTAAAATTCCTACTAGACCTAAAGGGTCTGGCATGGTTTGGGAGGGGGACCCCACGCATTTTTTCTTTCTTTTCTTTAAATTTTTTTATTATTTTCTTAACCTTTTGTTTAAATTTTTTTTTATTCTGCTCGCTACCTCAGAGGTAGTGAGCAGAATAGCCAAGCTGAATGTCGCTCAGCGGCATTCGGCTATGCACTCACTGCTGTTTGGCCCCTATGAGAATAGGGGCAAAAGGCAGTGAGTGAACTGCCAGAGGTTCGGCTCAGCCGATCCAGGTGTTGGATTGGCTGAGTCGAACGGCTTCTGCACTGCGGCTCAGCCGAAGGCAGCTGATGTACAGCTGATTTTAGCCAATGTAATCAGCCATAGAGAGCTGAAGTGAATAGCTGAACACCGTTCGACTCAGTTCACTACGACTTGGTTATTCACTCAGCTGCCAAAGGCCATTAGTTTTAGATAGAGAAAGGGGTGGTTATAACCCCTGTCAGCTTTTTTTTTCCATTTGTATCCTATTGATGAGATTCACCTTCATTTCCTGTCTAATAGCCACAACAGGAGGTGAGAGGAAATCCCTCCAAAGAGAAGGAAATCCCTGGTGGTTAGTAGGGTCAGCAGAATTAGTTTCCCCACTGGAAGATTTCCTATCTATTCCTGTTCTGGTGACAGCCCAAAATGTGGGATTTTCTTTTAATTCAGTTATAACAGTCACTGGGACAATTAGAGAGGGAGAATTTCCATAACAAGGATACAGACAGAAAATCATGTTCTAATCCTTCTCCACACCATCCAAAACTTCAGTTGCACTTTAAGTATGCTCCATAGGAGGTGGCACATGATTATGGTACACTTACCTCACATAGTGCCCTCTTCCAGAGCTGATGGATCCAAGCTCCAGTTGCCACCTCATCCCTCACCATCACCATCTGACACAGTTTCTGGTTAATTACCTAACCTATAAGTGACTAGATGAATGCATTGCCTTGTTAAATCTTAATTATCTCGCTATAAATCTGCATGAGTGCATTTGTGCAGAGACAGATTTACCATAAGGCACCCTAGGCACATGCCTATTGGTGCCACCTTGCAAGAGGCTTCTGGAATTGCTGGGATTCAGCTGTCAAAGTCACAGCTGAGACACTGTCTATCACAGCAGTGCTAAGAGTGCTCCTGTGAAACAACCCTGATGTTTTGTTCACACTTATACAAGAGCACTGAAAAGCACTTCTGTAAAAGTGTGAAAAACACTGCAAGCTTGTTTCTTTCACCTGACCCCCACTGCCATACATCCTGATCATGTATTATATCTATAATGTTAACTAATAACTAATGTTATGTTCACCTTTTAGGTGCTACTGGTCATCATATAAAGCATGTAGAAGTGCTGGAGCTGGAAAGGCGCACATGGGTGAGAAAGCAGAATATCAGCACCAAGGGGAAAGTGGTGGCTAGTCTTTCAAAAGGCAGCCGCTATGTAAGCTTTTTCAGGTCTCCTGCACCTATTGAAGAATGCTAGATGTAGCCTGTAATGTTGTAGCAGGAAGATGGAGAGGTCAGAGGGTGGTCCTGAGTGTCAGGGGATTAATGACCTGTGTTTTCCGTTAAGAAGACACAGGCAAGCTACCAGCAAAAGTGAAGGCTGTGTCATGTGAATGGCGGGAAGAGGGAACTTTTTCCCATATCAGCATGGCCACAGGTCAGTAATTTTTCAGTTTTCCTGTTTATCTTCCCCTCCTTTCTCTAATGTTAACATTTAAGCGCGTACACCAATTAGCCATAACATTGTGATCACTGACAAGTCACGTGAATAACATTATCTCATTACAATGGCACCTGGAAGAGGGTGGGATATATTCGAACAGTTTGTCCCTGAAGTTGATGTGTTGGAAGCAGAAGAAATGGCCAAGAGTAAAGATGTGAGCAACTTTCACAAGGTCCAGATTGTAATGGCTAGACAACTGGGTCAGGGCAACTTCAAAACTGCAGTTCTTGTGGGATGTTCCCAGGCTGCAGTGGTCAGGATCTACCAAAAGTGGTCCAAGCAAGGAAAACCGGTGAGCCAGCGACAGGGTCATCATTGATGCACATGTGGAGCGAAGTCTGACCTGTGTAGTCCGATCCAATAGAAGTGCTACTGTAAATGAAATTACTGAAAAAGTTAATGCTGGTCCTGATAAAAAGGTGTCTGAACACACAGTGCATTGCAGTTTGTTGCAATGCACTGACCCGTGCCCACCCCAAAAAGCACCTACAAAGGGTACATGTTTATCAGAACTGGACCACGGAGCAATGGACCACGGAGCAATTTTATATCATGTGGATAGCCGGGTGCATGTGCATTGCTTACATGAGGAAGAGATGGCACCAGGATGCACTATTGAAATAGGGCAAGCCAGCATAGGCAGTGTGATGCTTTGGGCAATGTTCTGCTGGCAAACCTTGGGTCCTGCCATTCATGTGGATGTTACTTTGACGCATACCACGTACCTAAACATTGTTGCTGTCAAAGTACACCGGTTTTTGGAAATTATATTCCCTGATGGCAGTGGTCTCTTTAAGCAGCATAATGCACCCTGCCACACTGCAAAAATTGTTTAATAATGGTTTGAGGAACACAACAACGAGTTTGAAGTGTTGACTTGGCCTCCAAATTCTCCAGGTCTCAGTTCAATGGAGCAGCTGTGGGATGTGCTGGTAAAACAAGTACAATTCATGGGGGCCCCACCTCATGACTTAATCCAGGTATAAACAATTCTATTTGTTTCATTCAACCTGCGGGTTGAACGCAAAAAAAAGAAATAGAACAGATTCCTTCAACAGTGCTTACGAGCGTTGATGAATGAATTCCCTGCTGTTTCCTTCGTATTCTGACAGCGGCTGCTGGCCATTGTCAGAATACCCGAACTGAGTTAGAAGATGATTGGCTGCTAGTTCCATTCGACTGAGTATTT